CCTGGTGCTGCTTCCCTTGCAGGAGCTTTGTATCTGCTGTTCCCTCTGCCTTTGCTCTTCCTCATGTTTCTGCATGGCCCATCCCCCTTCCATCACTGAGGCCTCTGCTCACATGTCATCTCCTAAGAGACCCCTTTCCTGCATAACACTTCCCCACCCTCCCTGCATTAAATAGCAGCTTGCTCCACCCCCGACCCTGTGCTATATTTCTTTATAGCTTATATCTCAGTTGTCTTTTCTCTTACATATGTGTTTATTTCAGTATCTAGCCCTTCCACTTGAAAGATAAACTCGACAAGAGGGGACATTTGGCCTATTACTCTCATTGCTATATTCCTCGTACCTAGAACAGAGCCTGGCACACAGAAGGTACTCAGTAAATGTATGTTGAATGAATGAACTCACCAGCCCAGGCCTATCAGGCTTCAAAGGCCATGCCCTCCACCGCCACACCTGACTGCCTTCTCACAGTCTGACCCCATGGATGGGCTTCCTCAGATGAGATTCTGGTCAGGGTGTCAGAAGTACCTAAGTGGCTTTGGGCAGTTCATGTCCTCTCTCTGGGCCTTAATTTCCTTATATATAAAATGAGGACATTGAATCAAGTGATTGCTGAGGTCTCACAAGCTCTAAAATTGAGAGTCTGACTCTGCTGTCCCCTGAGCATATTCAGTGGACATAGAAGACCCCCCAACAACCCCTAGGCATGATTACAGCCAGCCCAGGGCCTCAGCTTGCAATTTGGCACCAGCACTTTGCATCCTGCAAACCTGATGGCATGAGGACCTCTGCCCAGCTCCCCCCACCCTGCATGGCATCTAAGTTGAATCTTGGGGAAAAGGAAGCTGCTTGTAGTGAGGTGATGCCCTGTGATAGCCAGTGATGCTGCTCTGGGTACCCTTCTCTGGCTTTTCCTGTGCTAATTTAGTCCTTGAGTCCTCCAGGTTTACAATGATTGTTCCCCTTAGCCCTTTCTCATGTTGATGACCAGAGCTGCCACTCATCAGGCTAGTTATTGGGAAACCTGTGCTCCAGTTGGGCAGTGTCAGGGTAAAGTCTGCTGACTTATGGGAATTGACCTTGGTTTGCTCCAGTTGTGCTATCATCAATGGAAAATACTACCTAATGCATTGCAAGTTGTCCTGATTGCAAGCAGAGTAGCTAGAGAGAGGCTCTGAGTGTATTGCAGTCTCCAGGAATAGCCCAGCCCTTCTCCCCAGCTATAGTTTTTAATAAAAGCCTTGACGAAAATCTGTAGGGGAAGATGAGGTCCTAGACAAGCTTCCATTGCACATGCCTTAGATTTTCTCCATTTTGAGTACCTAGAGACAGGGACTGGCTGAGTGTGTGTGGGGGCTCATTCTGGCATCTCGGGCAAGGACAAGAGCCCCTTCATTGTCTAATTCTAAGAGGTACCATTCACATTGTGTCGTGTGGGCAACACAGTGGCCCCCAGGGAAGGCTGAGGGCTGAAGTGACCATAGACTTACCATAGTCCCACTTGGGGCACCCTCCAGGACACAGCAGGGTGTTCAGCTGACTCAGGGCCATGCTTCTTCCCTTCCCACACCACAGATAAGCAGGGCAGGAGGAGCCAGAGGGAGACAAGTGTGGAGGCAGAGTTCACGACACAGAATGCTGAGGATGAAGGCTGGTAGATGAGAGGCTGCCTCCTCCAGGTGGGCCTCCTGTGCACTCAGGCCACAAGGTAGGGTGCTATCATGAGCTCTGCTCCCGGCAGTGTTGCTGGGAGGAGGGGCTTCAGTCTAAGGCCTGACCCAGGTTGCCCTCACTGGCTGGTGCCCTCCCAGTTTATGATCTAGGTTGCCACACAGAGCCATGAACGTGGACTGAACACTTATTATGTGCTGGGCACTATTCTAAATACTTCACACTTAATAATGTATTTTTCTAAAATTAAAAAAAAAATTTTATTGATGTGAAATTCACATAACATACATAATGAACCATTTTAAAGTGTATTCACAGTGTGCCATCACCACTTCTCTCTAGCTTCACGATCTGTTTCATCACCTCAGTAAAACACCCTCATTAAACAATCACTCCCCATTCCTCTCTCCCCCTCCCCTGGTTAGCCACCAATCTGCTTTCTGTCTCTATGGATTTGCTTATTCTGAATATAGCATATAAAAGGAATTATATAACCTTTTGTGTCTGGCTTCTTTTACTTAACATAATATTTTTTAGGTGCATCTGTATTGTAGCATGTGTTAGTACATCATTTATTTTCATGGCTGAATAATATTCCATTCTGTGTATTTAATAACCTTCTTAGTCCCCACAATAACCGTAAGAGGTAGATGTTCTTATAATCCCTACAGAACATGGAAGGAAAAAGAGGTTAAGTAACTTGCCCAAGGTCACCCTGCTAGTAAGTGGCAGTTCCAGTTGTTCTAGTTGCTGTCCAGTCTGTTTCCACGCGTGTGTGTCAGAACAGAACTGTGCTTTTTAGAGTTTTCAAGGCTGTGCTGTGACCTTTTGGAAGCAGCTCACCAGGCCTTTCCCCTGAGGCACAGCTGGGTGGACCCTCAACCTTTCATTAGTAGTCAGAGAGCTTAACATTTATGTCACCCAGGGACTCTGGCAAATGGCAGAGTCAGGCTTAAATTCAGGCTAAAGACTATGCTCAGAGTTACTAAGCACAACCATCTTTGAAAACCACTTGCAGCTGTAGGAGAGGCCCCAATAGCCTTCTGATTCCTGTGTCCTGACCCAGGCCAGCAGGGGAAGACTGGCTAGGAAGTGGAGTCCCTATGGAGAGCTGGGACTTCTTTTAGGTAGGGTGGATCTTCTCCAGTCACCCCAAAGCCCAAGACTCTGATGCTCACCAAAAACTCACTGTCCCCCTTGGCATGAGAACAGGTGGGGTACCACGCACTGATGTGGTCCAAGGCCTATGTTGGGGTGAGCTAACCCTACAGACCAGCGTGGCAGTCCTCCCCGTCTGTCAGACCTCTCAGCCTCATTATATGTGTAGCAACATCTGGTGGGCCAGGTCCATTGGAAGGAGGACTCTTTGTTGGAGTCAGCCAGGAGGGTGAGTCAGAGCCCCACAGAAGGGGAGCTACACTCTCCGCAGAGCAGAGCACGTGTGTTCCATTCAGGTGGTACATCCGAGGAGAGCAAACAGAGAGCAGGCCTTCCAGAGGCAGTTTGTTCCCTTAATAGAGTAATTACAGAGCCGGGTAATTTACATCCCTAGAAAGATGCAGGGCAATGCAGGCCGGGGTGTGCATGTGTTTAATTTTAAATCCTCCAACCTCCTAATGAGGAGGTGCTTTGAAATACAGCAGAATGTTGGGATTCTTCAAAGGACTCATTCTCTTCCTGATTGATTTCTTTAAGGGAAAGCACGAAAGACAAATGAGGGCTGGAGGCAGCAAGGGAGGGTTTGCACCCCTCTACCCATGTTCTGCAGACATTATCTGCTGTAAAACTGTCGCTGGAGGATGGAGAACCAGCTCTTGGCTGCAGTGGCCCTCAGATAATGTCAGGGCTGAGTGATGACCCAGGCATTGTTGGCACCCAGCAAACACTTCTTGGGCTCTGGTGCCAGAATTCTTAGCTGAATCTGGTCAACCCACACTTTTGCCTAGGGAATGAAGGGCCATAGGAACTGGTGTTTAGGCCCCCCCCCAGGTGAGGGTTCTAGAGCCTTGCTTTGCAGACATTAATGTATGTGCCTTTGACTTCTCCAGGGATCCTATAAAAATGCAAAGGATCATTCGATAAGTCTAAGTAGGCCTGAGATTCTGCATTTTCAACCAGCTCCTGCTACTGGTTCATAGACTGCATTTCATGGGTCCCCAATTGGCAAGGCAACCTGAGGTGGTTTGGGCAAGATAGAACACAAGAGAGAGGGCTGGATGTTGGCTACAACCATGGCTCCCCTGGGAGGAAAAGGCTGTGAGCTCCCAAAGAGATCTTTTTTTTTTTTTTAAATAGAATTAATTTTTTTAGAGTGGATTTAGATTTACAGAAAAATTGTGCAGAAAGTACAGAGTGTTCCCATTTACCCTCTCCTCGCTGTACGCTACTCCTCCTATTAACATCTTTCATTCCTGTGGTACATTTGTTACAATTAATGAACCAATGTTGGTACATTATCGTTACCAAAGTCCGTAGTAGTTGTTGACTTAGGACACTGTGCACAACGGACAGAAGGGCTGCCCGGCCCTGCACCATCCCAGTGATCAGTGGGTTGGCCCATGGCTCCCATTAGGGTTCTCTCTGGTGGTGTACAGTCCTGTGGATTTTGACAAATGTCTCATGCTATGTGTCCACCACCACGATACCACACAGAATAGTTTCACTGCCCTAAAAATTCCCTGTGCTCCACCTATCTCCAAAAGGTTTTGAACCCTCTGGGGTCTTCAATTATGAAAGGGAGCAATATCAATAGTGAATCACTCTTGATTTGGGTCTGGTGTATGGTTTTGCCTCTTTTGCCCCATGAGGCTTGCCTTTCTAATGATGCATAGGTAAAAACCAAACACCAAACTTACTGCCATTGAGTTAATCCCAACTCATAGTGACCCCCTGAGGTGGTAAATCTTCACTGAAGTAGATTGCCTAGTCTTCCTGCTGTGGAGTGGCTAGTGGGTTTGAACTGCCAACGTTCTGGTTAGCAGTCAGTTGCCTTAGGCACTGTGCCACCAGAGCTCCTTAATGACGCCCAGGTAAAGCCTGTGGAAAACTGAATCTGTAGACCTCTAGCTCCTAAGCGCCTCCTCCCTGATGGGAGGGAAGTCAAGCTCGACTTGTAATGAAAAGTGGCTTCAAATTCACCTGGACCAGTTGCTTAACCTCTCTGTGCCTTATCTGTAAAATGGGAATAATAGTAGCTCCTGCCTCGTAGGATAGTTGGGAGGATTAAATAACTTTACCAGCCTCAAAGTGTGTGAGGGGGACTGAATCCACTTGGGTCCCACCTCCCTGGTACAGTCTGCTCATCCTCTCCTGCTCACCTGGCTCCACAGGTCCCTGGATGAGAAGCAGCTGACAGCAGCCAAGCCCCGCCTTCTCTGTGTGCTCGGGAGCAGGGCTGTGCGGCCCAGGTGGCACCAATGCCGAAGAACAGCAAGGTGACCCAACGTGAGCACAGCAGCGAGCATGTCACGGAGTCAGTGGCTGACCTACTGGCTCTTGAGGAGCCAGTGGACTACAAGCAGAGCGTCCTGAATGTGGCTGGCGAGGCAAGCGGCAAGCAGAAGGCATCAGCAGAGGAGGAGCTAGATGCAGAGGACCGGCCTGCCTGGAACAGCAAGCTGCAGTACATCCTGGCCCAGATTGGCTTCTCAGTGGGCCTTGGCAACATCTGGAGGTTCCCCTACCTGTGCCAGAAAAATGGAGGAGGTAACAGGCAGCTCTGCCTGGCCCAGGGGTGCCCTGCAAGTGGGCTGGGCTGAGGGGTGCAGAGGAATACCTCATGTGGAGGCAGAACTGAGGCCCTTGTAGGTTAGTGTTCTGGATTTCGGAGTAAGACTCCCCAGAAACTGCTGTGATGATGACTGATAGCTCTCCAGAGGCTGCAGAAAGTGGGCTCTCACCCCAAACTGCCTGGATTCACATCAGCCCACCAGTCAGCTCTGGGACCTTGGACCAGTTGCTTAACCTCTCTGTGCCTTATCTATAAAATGGGAATAATAGTAGTTCCTGCCTCATAGGATAATTGGGAGCATTAAATAACTTTTTTCCCCCACAGATATTTTATTTCACTTTTTACATTCCTTTTTTTTTTTTCTTTTTAAATTCTTACTGTGATTTGGGTGAAAGTTTACAGAGCAAATTTGTTTTCCATGCAGTAGTTCATCCACATTTTGTTTCATGACACTGCAATTCCCCACAATGTAACAGCTCTCTTCCCACTCCCTCCCTGCAGTTACCTCTTCCCCAGTGTCCTTCCCTCCCATGCAATCCCACCCCCTAGGTATTTCCCTGTGCAAACACTGCTCTTGTCTGTTCTCCCACAATTGAATGATCATTCCAAGGAGTGTATCTATCTGATGTAAATTTTCGCCCCATATGCCTGTCTATTGTATGGCTGGAGTTCTGTTCTAGACCTAAAGGGTGACTAGGGACCATAGTCTCAAGGGTCTCACCAGGCTCTATCAGACGAGCAAACCTGGTCTCTTTTGTGTGATTTTGAGTTTTGTTTCATATTGTTTTCCCACTCTATCCAGGATCTGGATTAAATAACTTTACATGTAAAATGTTTAGCATAATATCTGACACAAAGAAAAAAGCAAATGTTGGCCACTAATATTGAAGGCTTACTAGGTGACTGGCACTGTTCTAAACACTTACTGGATATTAAGTTTATGACAATAGATTAGTGGGTGGAAATCAGCATAAAGCCAATTCCCAGGAGGCAGAAATGAGCCATATCCCCGCTTTCCTACTTCTTCATTATTTCTCACACATGCTCGTTTCTCTGTCCCTAGTCACTTAGGACTAAATCAGGCCTTGTAAATTAAGAGGCACTGTCCTTGGGTTTGTTAATTCACTGGAACAACTCACAGAACTCATGGAAAATTTAGACTTAGGACTATCAGCGTTATTGTAGCAAAAGGAAGCAAATCAGCATCATCATTAGGAAGAGATGCACAAGTGAGGTCTGGGAAGGCTCCCAAAGCAGACCTGCCATGTCTCAGAGAGGGCGTGTCACCCTCCCCTCCACAACCAGGAAGCTCTCTGAGCCTTCGTGTTCCAGGTTTTTAGATAGGCGAAATCATCCCTGCTGAGGCTGCTTGATGTCAGCCTCCCAGATGGTAAGTCTTTTCTAGTCTGGCCAGCCCCTACTTGCCTAGGGAATGACCCACAAATACTCAAGTGTGGCCTGGAAGTTCCCAGACTAAGACACCCCAGTTACTCCAAAGTTTATTTCTCCAGAGCCAAGGGCAAATGTCCATTGCCCCACAGGTTAAACTAAATAATGCTGATATTTGAGCATCTCTGAACAACCAAAGCATCAATTTCAGATGATTTGACCCAATACTAACCCATTGAATCCTTTAACAACATTATGAGAAAAGAATTATTATTATTCTTATTTTAGAGAGTACAAAACTGAGGCTCAGAGAGGTTAGGTAAGTTGCTGAAGGTCACCCAGCTAGTGACAAAATCAGGGTTCATACCTGGCAGCCTGGGCCTAGAACCTAAGCCCTTAACCAACATACCGACTGGCACCCAGGTAGGAGTGGCTTCACGCTGCCCTCTGTATTTAATCCGTCTCAGGATCTTGCTTCCGGTATCAAATCTCTGTGAACACTTCCAGCCCTCAGGCTGGGTTGAAGCCCCTAGGACTTGTCCCTCCAGCAACTTGGAGGCAGGCTAAAGTTTTCTAAAGGCAGCTTGTTCTGAAACTAGGGAAAAGCTAGTAGAAAATAAACAAGGAGAAAAACAAAAGGCTGAAGGTGGTATTTCCAAGTTTAGACATCTGGTCCTGAGAAGGTGATTTGAATTAGCAGAAAGCTTTCTTGCCCCTGAATCTTCGTGTCCTAGAATTGCTATATTCCAGCTTTACAGGCATTTTAACTGGGCTCCTTCTTTTCTTGCTCTGTGAGTTCTCTCCATGTAGTCTCTCACCAAAGTTGCAGCCCCATTCAGGAACCCTCTCCTTTTCAGAACAAATTCTTCCCTGATTCGGCAGCAAAGTCTGGCTGGGGGACTTCTCTTCTAGTTTCAATTGAAGGGCTGGGGATGAGAATGCCGTCTTGACCCCTTGCGATTTTGTTAGGCCATAGGATCCCATCTTTCCTTGGCATAGTATATTCCCCTAGGTCTTGATTTTTTTTTTTTTTCCTTCTTTTTTCAATAAGTGACTGCCAACCAGAGCTTTTGGTCTGCACAGAATGGCCAGGTCACTCTGTAGATGTCAGTCCAGCCTAAATCAAACATACAGATATAAATGTGTGGTTTCTTTTATGCTCTATAAGATGTTAAGAATAGCTCAGAGGCACCCAAAATGACTTTGGAGAGCACATGGCATTTGGGGACTCCAGCTGGGAACTTCTTACTTTGTCCTTTCTGGCTTAGATGATCAGTTCTGTCCAAGAACTTGGGGCTGAATCAGAGTCCCTCTCCTCACCACACAAACACACACCCAGGGCAGTGTTCTTGCCAAAGTCACTGGACATTGTCCATGGCACCAGACATCAAGGGCCGCCCCCAGAAGGACAGCGCTGTCCCCTGCCAGCGTTCTGAGTGCGCCTTTCCATTTCTGCCTACATTCCTCCATTCTCTCTGGTTCCGGGAATCTGTCTCCCCTGCTCCCCACCCCCCTTTTTTTAAATCCCTGCCTTTAACCATCCAGTAATTTATGGATTTTATAGTAACTCATCTTAAATATTTTTTTGGAAGGAGATTAATTATCATAAGAAGGAGGCAGTTGCGTGTTCTGAGAATTGATGCTCTATGGTGTTGAGCCCTGGGTGATCTAGTTCAACTTTGCTTAATTCTGGACCTAAACTCTTCAGGGTCCCCTAAGCTCTCCCAGATACTGACACTTTCTTTATTCTGTATTTTCTTAGTTTGCTTTTTCTTTTTTCCTCTGTATTTTTATGAGAAAGCACAAATGTTTATCAAGTGCTTACTGTGGGGTAATTCATTTTACCCTTGTAACAACCCTATGCAATAGGTGTCAGCTTTAGCCATATGAAATGACCATTTTTGTAAGCCAAAATGGTCAAAAACCAGCCATTTCATATTTCCGTCCTCTTTTTACAGGTGCCCACAGGCTCACGAGACATACAAAGACACACACACTTGTATGTGTGTCTTTGTATGTCTCGTGTGCCTGTGGGCACCTGTATAAAGAGAACGGAAATATGATTCCGTCCTCAGCAGTACAGAGAGGTCAAGTAATTTGCCCAAAGTCATGCAGTAAGTGGCAGAGCCAAGATTTAAGCCCAGGAAGGTCTGACTCCAGGGTCTGGATCTTAACCCTACTCAGTGTGTATCTCAACAGGCTGAGATCAAGTTTTCTAAACCTCAGGAATAACCCCAGGGTTTGCCAGAGGCTCAGAGTGTAAACAGAGACATAGACTATTAGAGATTGGAGACTTTAGAGATCCTGGAACCTACCCTCTTGTGGTCACATTCTGCTCAATTTTCTGAAGGCTTGAACTATACTCCCAGCTGTTCAAACTGACAACCTGAGGCTCCTGAGAGCCATTGAAACATCAAGGGAAATCCAGTTGAGTCCTTGTTTGGGTTACAAAAAAAAATACCACAAATGGGATGGCTCAAACAAACAGGGATTCATTCTCTTACAATTTTGGAGGCTAGAAGTCTGAATTCAAAGTGCCAGGCTCTAGGTGCTGGGTGAAAGCCCCTTGAGACTTTGGGCTTCAGCTCTGCCTCTTGCTCCTGGCTCACTGAAGCTGGAGGCTTTTCTGCAGTCAGGCAGCTGCTGGCTGCTGAGGCTGACAAACCCAAGGTAGGCAAGTAACAAGGCACAGTCCCAATATTACCACATGGCAGGTCATTGATTCAAGTCTATTAAAAGTCCCAAGATTTGCAGAGCATGGCAGGCTGCTGAATGAAGACTTGGCTACATGCAGGGTCCAAGCGTGCCAAAAACCTAGTGACCTTCCTCAAAGCTGCTGCTCATATACTAGAAGTAGATCATATCCCTAAAGCAGCTACTCAGCTGCTCCAGTAGATTCCACCATGGAATTGATTGCCAATCTCACCATGGGGAATAACCAAATCAAGCTGCCCAGCCACTCAGCCAGGCCCAGCCAAGCTGACACACAACCTTCACTACCACAGTCCTCAGGTTGTATTTTCTAAGGTGGAAGAGGGTCCTGTTACATTGCCAAAAGATTTGAACAAATGTTGATAGAAAAGTACCACTGATTAATCAGAGATTCTCTCCTCACCCAGATGGCAGCCCCCAGAGCCCTCTGGTTAGCTGGCCCTCAGCATGGCAGAGAGACCTGCAGCCATGTCAGTGCCCTGGAGCCTGAGTGCACAGGGCCTGAGAGGCAAGAGGCTGGTACCTGGTCTTTGCTGCCAGATGGTTCTTTGGACAGTATTCACCTAGAGTTTTTTCTTGGTTGTTTGGGGAGAGGAGAGAAGCACTTATAGAGGATGCCAGGCTACTCTGCTGACACCCCAACACCCTTCTCCCTGCACGTCATGCCCCATTAAAGGACACGAGGTTGAAATGCAAAACCAGTGAGGCTGTATCCTTTTGACTTCCTGCTGCAAATCATGTCTTTCCTTATCCATGTCCCCATGCCCAAGAGAAAAGACTGAGTTAAAGACAGACAGGAGTCTAAGGATGTGGTCACTCGGACCCTCCCTCCATTGGGTACCATGATGAGACTGTTGTTGGTGACGAGTTGAATTTACATGAATTGTGTGCGTGTGTTTAATGAGTTAGATGCTATTGGATGAGGCTGAGTGGATTGCCTCCCAAGGAAGCCTTTCCTGATTAAATCCATTGGACCCTAACCCCTCCTTTACTGTATCCCTCAACATGTATGTGCTTTGTTGGTCATGTGTCTGTGTGTCTTTGTATGTGTATCTCTAGGTGTGTCTGCATGTGTATCTGCACGTGTGTGTCTGGGTCTTGTATGTGTGTCTTTGTATGTCTCATGTACCTGTGGGTATATTTGCACTGGTGCTGATTTGCTTGTATGAATCTGAGGAACCTGCTGTCCCATGATAGCGTCTAGGCCTTCTTGTAGACCTTTAATGACCAGTTGACTATTGACAGGTGCCCAGGCTTGCCTGACCCTCTGAAATAACTGGCAGATTGGGCACACATTTGGGAAGCACATGGGAGGTTGTGTTATGGGGGAGGAGCAGTGTGTCTGGGGGTCTTCTGGAGATGACTTGTAAGGCTTGCTCTGGGGTGCTGGCTGACCAGTCTGGGCATGGTGATGCTGTTTGGCAGACAGGCAGACTGTGCTGCCAGCACTGCTAATAGGACTAGGTTGTTGTTGGCACATCTCTCAGTGGGGGCACTCATCTGTGTCTGGACGTGGTTTTAATTCTTCTGCTAAATGCCCTGTCACTTGAAATTGAGATTGTGTCTGAAGCAAGGTCCAGGACAGCAAGATGAATTTATCATCTGGAATCTTTAGCGAGATCCATTCTCTCCTTTATGATCCTCCCAGCTGCGCTTTCCTGAACTGCTCATTTCTGTCCCATTCCTCCCAATTAGCTGTACATTAATGGCCAGGCTGGTCAGATCCTCTCCCTGGAAAGCTTCCAAGCTCTGCTTCCCTGGAGCTGCCCGATCTGCTGTATCAGCATCTGGTTCTGCAGAGAAGTTGTGCCAGTGTGTCTGGGACCCTGGGGGGCAAGCGAGCAGGGCCCCTCATCTGGGTCTGATGCTTGTGGGTGGGAGGGGTATAACAGGTGTCCCCATCCTGAGGTGACTGTGTCTGTCTGTGTATAACTTAACTTTGCATGTGGATTCCAGAGAGGCAGTACGATGTGTGTTGTGGTCGCCTGTCTGTCCATCTGTCTGTCTGTCTGCCTTTGAACCTAGCCTTATGAGAGGGAGGTGCTGATGGCATATGGATTCCTCCTTTTGGGTAAAGGGAATTGGGGGTGGTGAGAAGGAAGGCTGTGTGAGCCAGGTGGGTCACACAAATGAGAAAGGCCATTTGTGGAGGAGCACGAGGACTGGGACAGTTTGAGGATGTCAGATATGTAGCTGGGATATAGAATGTGGGTGCACCTCCTTTTTTGCCTCACCCTGTGCATGCTCCAGATACTCCCCAACATCCTTCCTCTTTCCCCATAGGTGCCTACCTGGTGCCCTACCTGGTGCTGCTGATCATTATTGGGATCCCCCTGTTCTTCCTGGAGCTGGCTGTGGGCCAGAGGATCCGCCGCGGCAGCATTGGTGTGTGGCACTACGTGTGCCCCCGCCTAGGGGGCATCGGCTTTTCCAGCTGCATAGTGAGTTGGGGGGCTGGGGGCTGACTAAGTGGGAGGGAAAGGGGCTGTGGCTGCTCTTGGATATCTAGAAGGAGGTCACGCTTTACAGACCAGGGCCCGGGGCTGGGACAGGTCAGGGAGGGGGACCCTCAGCTGGTATCCTGGAACCACAGTCACCTAAACTGAAAGTTGGCCATGCCTAAAACAGGACCTCTTATTTGAAATTGGTGCTAGGCCAGAAAAGCTGGGACATGTTCATGTGGGGCTACCTGAGATGCTTCAAGCAGAGTTCTCTGTGGGCCTGTGGACCATCTTAGAACCACCCTCTTTGCTTACCAGTTAATTGGTCAGCTCTCCATGTGAGGAGGCCCTTCCTCTTTCTGTGGTAAAAATGCATTTTCACTGGGTAATCGAATGGAGCAGGAAGAGGTCATTGAAGTCCTAGGCCTTAGGGTCTCCTTGCCATTTCGCTATGATAGTGAGCAGTCAGAGAGGGTTTAGACAGGAACCCTGTGGGCAACCCAGGAGGGGTGAGGCTTTGAGATGGAGGGAGACAGGGTCATCTTACTGGCTATGGGTGGGGAACTCCACCAGTGAGGCTGCAGATGAGGCCCCCTCGAAGCTCTAGGTGAAGAAATGGAGCACACCCACCCCTTTTTTTCTCCATTGTTAAAACGAGCACCCCTTAAGGGCAAAGCCTGCAAACGCTCATATTCACACCCAGAAACCTCTTGTGGAAGGAGCAAATAGTCCTCAGGCCTGGCAGCAGGGCCAGCCCAAACTGGCCTGAGGCCAAGAGCAGAAGAGGGTCTGTGTTGCTTCGTACCAGGACGTCACCTCTGCACAAGTCTATAAACAGTGCCAGTTGTCATTGCGTTGACTGCCCCCGTGGTGACTCCATGTGTGTCAGAGTAGAACTGTGCTCCATAGGGTTTTTAGTGGCTGATTTTTTGGAAATGGATCATCAGGCCTTTCTTCCAAGGAATTCCTAGGTGGACTCGAATTGCCGACCTTTTGATTAGCAGCCGAGTGTGTTAACCATTTGCACTACCCAAGTACTCTACATAGAAGAATCCAGCATACTCTCCTAAGGCTGCTGGGTGTACATGCAGGGGTGTGTGTGTGATCTTCCCCCTACACTGAAGGGGGCCAAGTAAAGGATGTGGGTCTCTCCTCTCTATGTTGTTGTTGTTAGGTGACGTCAAGTTGGCTCTGACTCATAGTGACCCTATGCACAACAGAACGAAACACTGCCCGGTCCTTTGCCACCACTTGTCTGTCAGTTTATCGTGCTCTGGTGGCTTGTGTGTTGCTGTGAGGCTGGAGGCTATGCCACTGGTTTTTCAAATATCTGCAGGGTCACTCATGGTGGACAGGTTTCAGTGGCACTTCCAGACTAAGACAGACTTGGAGGAATGGAGGGGTCATCCACTGCTCAAAGAGTTGGTCAGTGAAACAGCATAACACTGTCTCCTCTCTATAAACCAAAAACCAAACTCACTGTCATCGAGTCGATTCCGACTCATAGCAACCCCCATTGGGTTTCCGAGGTGATAAATCTTTACAGAAGTAGATTGCCCAGTCTTCCTTCCGAGGAGTGGCTGGTGGGTTTGAACTGCCAACCTTCTGGTTAGCAATCAAATGCCTTAGGCACTACACCACCAGAGCTCCTTTCTCCCCCTGATAGTCCCTACAAAGTTTGCTGTGTGAGCATCGGCCCCTGCACACAGGAGCTCAGGTCAAATGGCTGAGCAAGCAGCCTTCAGCTCTCTCAACTAATCAGCAGTCTCAGTGATGCATCATATAGGCAGGTCCCTGGAGACAGAAGGGACAGCCCCAAAGTGGGTGCAGCACATCCTGGCGCTTGAAAAGCATTGCTTTCAGAGAAATCCCTCACACCTTCAGTCAGAGTCTGTGCCCTCCTATTTTAAATAAATTCTACCAAGGTTGGTTGTTAACGTGTTTCCAAGCCTACAGCAGCTCAGAAGCAAGACATGAGAACTGATACTGTTCTAGAAGTGGCTGCTGACAGTAGCAGAAGTAGTTTTCTGAGAGAAGGAAGAACATAGGAAACCAATAAGAAGCATCCAGAAACCCTCAAAACTACAGCAGTCTGGGGCTGTTTATTGTGGGGCAAGATGCTGGCTATGTCTCCATAGCTCTGGGCCGTCTCTGGAATTATAATTCTCAGTTCTCAGGAAATGCCAGGGAAGTGCCGCAAGCATTTTGGAAGCATTTCAAACTGGAAAGGATTAGCATGGTAAAAGTTTGTTGCTTAAAGGAGAAAACTTTAATATCTGGGAATTTCTTTGTGGATTCCCTGGATACCAGATGAATGGAGCATTAAGGGGAGGCCCTCAACTGCCCACATCTCGTCTCATGTTCCTCCTTCAAGGCTGTGCAGCTGGGTTATGTGTGGTTAGGGACTGTGCTCTGGGCTTTAATGGAGGAGGTGGAGTTGCCTGCAGCCTCCCTCTCCCACCTTTGTCCTCAGGTGTGCCTCTTTGTTGGGTTGTATTACAATGTGATCATCGGGTGGAGCATCTTCTATTTCTTCAAGTCCTTCCAGTACCCGCTGCCATGGAGTGAATGTCCTGTTGTCCGGAATGGGACGGTGGCAGGCAAGTATAAGACCCCTAAGGAACCCCTGCTGGGGGTCACAGCCAGCTCTGTCCCAGGAATATGTAGGGCACGGATTTGGGATTTCATTGACTTACTGTGCCACGATGGATAAGTCACTTAACCTCTCTGAACCTTCTTTCCTCTTCCCCAGTGAGGATGACCTCTTACCAGCCTGTCTCAACAGAATTTTTATGGGGATTGAGTAGAATGATTATAGGTAAAACTCTAGAAATTGTGGCTTTGTTTAATTGTTATCAATTACACCATGTAGCTCTAACACCATCCTAACCGAGAACAACCCTACTTTGCATACCAGTCTTAAAAAGCGTGGATTATTATCCCATTTCCCAGATGGGAAAACTGAGGCCTAGAGGTGACTTTCCCATAGTCATAACACCCTTATTTTTTTGTGTATGTGTTATTTGAGTGAAAATTTACAGAGCAAATTCACTTTCCATACAGCAGTTCACATACACTGTCTCATGACATTGACTACAATTTACCACAATGCAACAGCTACCCTCTCACTTCCTCCTGATAGTTACCTCTTCCCTGTGTCCATCCCGCCATGTACTCCTGCCCCTTGAGCTGTCTCCCTGTGCATAAACAGCCCTTCTTTCTCCCATGATTGTTCTCTCCAAGGAGTGTATCTACCTAAGGTAAATGTTCAACCCATATACCTGTCTTTTGTTTGGCAGGAAGCCACAAGTGTGGGTTCAATTCCAGACCTAAAGGGCAACTAGGGACCATAGTCTCAGTGATTCCACCAGGCTCTATCAGACCAGCAAACCTGCCCCCCGTCGCCCCTATTTTTTTTTTTTCCAAATGATTTTGAGTTTTGTTCTACATTGTTCTCCCTCTTGATTCAGGATCTCCTACATAGATCCTCCTCTGAGTGGTTGACAGTGGTAGCTGGGCACCATCTAGTTCTTTTGGTCTCATAGTTGTATAGGCTGCAGATCGCATGGTGTACCAGTTGCTAGGACTCATTGTTTCCATGAATTTTTGGTTTTCTTCATTCTTTGCTCGGACAAGGAGAGACCTATCGTTGCATCTAGATAGCTGCTTGCAAGCTTTGAAGATCCTAGTCGCTATTCACCAAAGTAGGAGGTGGAACAATGTTTTGTATAGTATCATAACACCCTTTTAACCAAAGATCTGGGCTGAGAATCCAGGTCTCCTAAGCTCGGGCCTTTCCCAAACAACTTTAGGCCACTTCATCTGAACCCTTCCTGCCCTCCATGGATGGATGTGGTTGGGTGGGAATTCAGCCAGGTCAATGTGCCCTGCAGCCTTCCAGGCCCCATTAGGATCCCAGGAGTCCTCAGGTTCTGCCAGATCATGTCTAACCAATAATGAGCACAGCCTATCCCTGCCATCTACCCTCTGCCATCCTTTTACCCACTGCTGCCCTGGATGGTGATCCAGCAGAGGAAGTGGCTCCACAAGTCTTGGCCACTGAGGCCCTGTGGCCTTTGCTGCATTTCAGTGGTGGAAGCAGAGTGTGAAAAGAGCTCAGCCACCACCTACTTCTGGTACCGAGAGGCCTTGGACATCTCCAATTCCATCTCAGAGAGTGGGGGCCTCAACTGGAAGATGACTCTGTGCCTCCTTGTGGCCTGGAGCATCGTGGGCATGGCTGTCGTCAAGGGCATCCAGTCTTCGGGGAAGGTGAGTGGGGGGCACCCAGACCCAAATGGAGGGCAGCAGATAGGCCGGGAGGACAGAGGGCTAAGAGTCCTGGCTGGCCCCATGCAGGGTCCTTTGGGTGGACTCAGTCTCTGGAATGACTTGTGATGGTGTCAGGGTTGGGAGTATCATTGCCACAATATTGTTCCCCATGGACAGCCCATGAGGAGTGGACCAGGAGTAGGCCTATGGGTCCTCATTGCCTTGCCCCACAGCTGCCCATGCACTCAGGAAACTCAGACCTGCTCTGCAAACATTAAAGAAAAGGAAATCTAGAAGCAGTGGCCCAAGGACATCTGTCTAGATCCTGGCCCCCTCAAGGTTCCCAAACAAAAGCCCTAGTAAAGTCTGCTCTGAGCAATTTTGGGTAAAAACCAGCAGCTTGTCATATCTACAGTTAAAGGCTCCTTGAGCAGGTGGTTGCTGTTCGTCAGGAAGACCTTGGAGTCCTCTGAGGGCTGCTCTGTACAGTCTATGAGGGTGCAGGCCAGCCACTCCACCCTTTTCCAGCAGCTCAGTCCTCTTTTAATTAAGGGCCTCTTATTATTTGTCATGTTTCAGTATCCATCAATTGCCAAGACTGAAAAGGGTGTTTGAGATCATGTTGTCCAATCCACTTATCTTACAGATGAGGAAACTGAGGCCCAGAGAGAGAAAGCAAACTACCTATGGTCATACAGCCAGTCAGCCTCAGAGCTGGAGCTAGAATGCTGGCCATCTGTCTGAGCTTCCTGGGTCCTTTACATGACTTGAGGAGCAAGGAAGCTAAGTCAGCCAGAAAGCTAGAGTGGTCCCAGGCACTGGCCTCTCTCCTCTCTGAACGCCCAGATGGCAGCTGACACTGCATGGCACTTCTTAGGCACTGCCACATATATGAACACATGTGGTCTATAACAGTCTTATTATGAATTAGCAATCATTGTTTCCATTTTATAGCAGAGGTAATGGAGGCGCATTGAGGTTGAGTAATTAGTGCAAGGTCACATCGTTGGTAAATGGTAGATCCAGGATCAGAATTCAGATGGTCTAGCTCTAGGCACTGTCCTGTCCACACAGCTTTCCTGTTGCTTTGTTTCAGTGCAGCAACACTTTATGAGCATGTCCTTTGTGTGAGGTCTGTACCAGACACATGAGGATATAGCAATGTGCAAGAAATGCACATGGTCCCTGCTAAAAAAGAGCACACGGCGTATAATCACAAGAGGCTAGGATCTTCTGATGTTTTTTGCTTGGGACCTACCTATGTAACCTCTCAAAGTTTTTTGTCGAAGGAGTTCTAAGGACAAGGGAGATGCTTAGGGGGGTCCACTGGAGGCAGGGATAGAAAAACAGATACGAGACATAGAAAAATGAGGAGGGGAGAACAAAGGATTCCCTTGCCCCTTGGTGGCCCTGGTGTGTGAGAGGATGCCTGGTCCTGCCCCGCCAGCCCTTGAAAGGCAAAACAAGCCACTGCAGACTCCAGCTTGGCCCTGCTCCTGTCTCCACCTTGGCTCAAAGCCAGATGGGTGGTGGTTTGGCCCTATGCCTAAGAGTGCCAGGGCTCTGCCTTCTGCTGTCATCAGAGGAGGTTTGTGTGCCCCAGCTGTGATGTGGGGTGGGTGCCAGCCGCAGGAGGACCACTATACTACTGTGAGCCCTTGTCCTCTTGGCAGGTGATGTATTTCAGCTCCCTCTTCCCCTACGTGGTGCTGGCCTGCTTCCTGGTCCGGGGACTGCTGCTGCGAGGGGCCGTCGATGGCATCCTACACATGTTCACTCCCAAGGTAAGGTTCTGGGTTCCTGCATGCTGGGGGACACCAACTGCTGCACTGGGCCTGGTCAGCTCCATGCAGTTTGAGACACACTGGACACTGGTGTTCTGTGTTGAGTGCCATGTCAGGTCTCAGAGGGATGCACAGGGAAAGGGGGCCTGGGCCCTGCTCTTAAGGATCCAAGGAGAGGGACAGGGCATCAACTTGGGTGAAATCAGAAAAGGCTTCAGGGAGGAGGTGATATCTGAGATGAGTCTTAGGGAGCTGATAGGCTTTTGATGGCTGGCAATAGGCCATTGCACTCAAAGGGAACCAGATGGGCAAGAGCTTGAAGGTGGGAAAGCGTTGGGCACACTTGAGACAACAGTGGGAAGTTAGTGTGGCTGGGACAGTGTGATAGGAAAAGTGGGGGCTTCAGGGGGTAGATCCATACAGCAAGAATGGAAAGAAGATGCCTAAAAGATGAAAGCTCCCCCAGAAATTCCAGTTCATACCCAAATCAGGGAATGTGATTACTATTTTATCAAAAATAATAAGGCCTGTGGATGGTGATTTTAACCTTACCAAGCAAGCCCTTTTGCGTCTCCTCTCATTTAACCCTCTCAGTAGCCCAGGGAGGGGGATGTTCACAGTCAAAGGCTGCAGCAGAGGCACAGGTGTTGTGAAGATGAATATCTAGTTTTTCTAAAAGTGCTCTTGCTCCAACACATGGCATTGCCTCTCTGTGACCCTCCAGACCACACTGGACCCAGCTGGTATATGCCAGTCGACTGAGAAATAAGAATTTCAAGTGCAGGCTAGCATGCTCTTCAAGGTGCCTCAAGCAATGTACATGAGTCACCTCAGCTGGTCAGGCTGGAAAGTCAAACTCCAAATGCCAGCTGATCAATAAGCAACCAGCAGGGGCCAAGTGAGACTGCAGTCCCGGGCTTAGGTCAGAGCTTGGCCAGGCCAGCTCGAAACCCTCACCATTGGCCCACTGCTTGGTAGTACCATCTTGTGCATGCACTCATGGACACATGCATACACTCACACGTGAACACTTACACAGAAATTTCATACAGGATGATACAGGGAGAAGAGTACAAATCCACTGGGATTTAAAACCGCCATGCCCTCCCTTCTCCCCTGCTCTGCTGCTGTGATGTTTGGGGGGTGGCAATAGCCAGGGCACAAACCACTCCATTGTTGCCAGACAGCACATACATTGACCCTAGGCATTCTTGGATGTAACACCCGAACTTTCTACATGAACAACCACAAAGGCCTACTTGATGAAGCACTTAGTGAATTTCCTGGGGCATGAATGTGAATCCTGAGCTGTGTGATTAGCTAAGCCTGGTTTCTTTGGGGAAAAGCAGCTATGAAAAGGAAGCCAACTGTTTTTATGAATGACTTCAACTATATTTCTGGACTCATGATCAGATGAATGTGTTCTCTTGAGTTTTTCAGTTATGAACTTTATGAAGAAATTATGTGCTCTGGTGATATCCGTAAGTGTGGCTATTCACAAAATGTCTCCAGATGGGCCCATTGGTGGCGTTGAGTCAGTGGTGTGGAACTTCAGGAACAAATGGAGCCGATTTGCTGGGATCAGCTTCTGGTCCCAGCACATACAATACAGCTTCCTACTCGATACAGACCCTCTTTAAAACTTACTTTTAATTATGAAATATTTCAGGCTATAAAAATGTATGTAAGAGTATAACAAATATTCTTTAAAAATAAAATATCATAGATATTGTTGAAGTGTAGCTCTCCCTGATCTCATTCCCTTCCCACCCCAAAGATAAGCACTATTCTGAATGTGGGATTTGTTCTGCTAAGGCATTAAAAATTTGTATTACATATATAGGTGGGAGCTTAGTATCCATAAGTAATATATAGCATTTATGCTACTTTTAAACTTCATATAAATGACATCATATTATACATATCCTTCTGTGATATGCTTTTATTTTTGCTCAGTACTGGTTTTTGAGACGTATCTATATTGATATATATAGATTTAGTGCAGCTTCCTTTTTTTTTTTTTTTTTTTGGTGTATATATGTGTGTGGGTTGGTCACTCGCTTTTAGTATATTTCCCTTCACCCAAATCAACCCTATTCTCTTACCTGTCTATCTAGTCTGTTTTTTTAATGCCTGTATAGTATTCCGTTGTAGGACTAAACTAAAATTTGTTTATCCATTTTTCAGTTGATTATTTCTAAGTTATCTTTCAAAGTTATTTCTAATTTTTTCACCATTACTAATCATGCTACAGTAATCATTCTTGCACAGGTCCTCATGTGTACACACTTCTCTAGGATGTATATGTTTAAGATTGGAATTACTATATCAGAGGGTATGCATATCTTCTGTTTCACTAGATACTGGCCAAATTGCTCTCCAAAGTGGTTGTAACTATTAACAGTCCCGCCAGTTGTATATTTGAGAGTCCTAGTTGTTCCACATTTGTCAGACATAAATTTTTGCCCATCAGATGGATACACATTGGTTGACATGCACTTTGAACAATAGGGGGTTCTCCTTTCCAAAATTGTTCTTTGATGCTCAGGAAATGTAAAATGATTCTACTTTAGTATTTGCAGAGGCCAGAGTCTTCATGAGGTGAAGCTTTAAGAATCAAATCCAGAGGGCACTAGAGGAGCCAAGTCACCAAGGACCAGCATGGTACATTCCCTGACCCATCTAAGTCTTGGGACTTTCAGGTCTGAATAAAACCTGGGGGGCCTATCTTGAGACCTTGCCTCCTGAGCAGTTCTAAGGGGGCAGCTTCTCAAGGAGGGATGTGTTGAGCAGGAAGAGAAGTTCTAAAGGGCCTCAGATGCTAAACTGCTTTACCAAGGGCCCCTTCACAGCCTGTGCCACTGTTTGCTCAAGGCAGGTAAGGCCAGAGTTGATGGCTGGGGTGAGGCTTCAACTTACAAACCCCTCCAAGTCATCTACTAAAAAGGTGGATCCATTCTCAAAAATCGCCTGGAAGTCTGTACATTGCAAACTACTACTGCAGAGCTATGACTGCTTCAGCACAGGATTGGTGTAAAATGAGATCCCTTGGGAGTCATTTCAAGTGCTTGCCCTAGAATGGTGCTGTAAAGTGTGAGGATCACTGCACACAATTGCCCAGGCCATGCACTGCTCCATTCATATAGACAGCAACGTGAATGGCATTCCCAGGGATTATGCCATTTGGCAACCCTGGCAGAGTACAAGTAGATTTTTGACCAGGGCATCTCAGAACCAGCCCAGGAGAGGCTGAGGCTTTCCATGGATGATACTGAATGACCTGAAGGGTGCTACTTCCTATAAAACCTTTTAGTGTCAGAAATAATCCTGGCAACAAGACTTGAACTTTCAGTCCATGTCTCCAAGCAGACAGCTACTGGATATGGTGTGTATACTGTATATAATGTGACCAGAATAACGTGATGGCCCACTAGCACCTTTCATAGACCAGTGACTCATGTTAATGATTGGTGAACTTCTTAAAGTTCTTGAGTTGTATGTCTCCTGATTACTTTCTTCCTGTCCAGTTAAAAACCCAGGTCAGCATGGGGTGCCATGCAATTCATCATGTAATTTGCCTAACATAAAATGGTGGATTATGGTGAATTTTCTAATTACCAGAACTTTCAGAGAATGTTTATCAAAATTATAACTGTTCATCTGCAGTGTAGTAAATTACATGGTATGGCTTTTCTAGCCATAGTCTTTGCCACTCTGCCAGGCTCAAAATGAGCCCTCCTAGGGGCAGAAGGAGTTTCTTTGACTGCCGGCTGAGAGAGTGTGCTGCTGAGAGAAACACGATTGCTGAGAGAGAAACGTGAGAGAGGCACACTGCTGAAAGAGAGACGTGTTACTGGGAGAGATGGCCAGATGAGAGAGATGGCTGGCTGAGAGAGACTGAGTGCATTCCTGGCCTTGAATTACAGCCTGTTCCTTCCCTAATAAACCCCATCATCTGTGAGTTCTGTGTGGCCACTGCAGCAAATTACCAAACCCAGCAGAGAGGTGGTGGGTGCTGCGGGAGGAATGATTGGTGACAAGGTAAGAGGGTTGGAGGGTGGCAGCATGTCTGGCCTCATAAGAGCAGGCCTTGGGCTGCTGATGGTGATTTTCTCTTCCTCTTGTTTCGTTAGAGGAGATCAGAAGCTGCCTCTTTGTCCCTTTAGCGTCATGCCCTTCAGCCCAGCAATTCCACTTTTAGGTATTTATCCTACAGATGGACTCACACATAAGCATTTATCTTAAGATCAAAAGATAAGAAATAATGCAAATGATCATCATTCATTTATTCATTGATTCATATAACAATTGTTCATTGAACACCTTTTATGGACCAGGCACTGTTCTGGTCCTGGGTCCTGGGTACAGCAGTAAACCAAGCAAGCAAACATCTCAGCCCTCATGGAGCTTATATTCTATTAGAGGGAGATTGACTACATATGATAAAAGAATTGTTGAATGGTGTGGGTAAGGAGAAAAATAACAGAAAAAGAAGGTTATAGGCATTAGGGGAGAGGAGTAGCAATTTTAGAGAGTGTGGTCCAGGAAGGCCTCACTGAGAAGGTGACATTTGAATGAAGCAGAGGTGGGGGAGGGGACAGGAACTGTGGATATTTAGAGGTAGCCCATTCCATTCCAAAATGAGAGAACAAATGAAAAGGCCTTGAAATCAGATGTTTCTGGCATCTCAAAGGAGGCCAGTGTGGCTGGAACAGGGAAGGGCAGTGGTAGGATATGCCATTAGGGAGGCAATGGGGAACCAGATCATAGGGTCATATAGGCCAGGTAAGAACCTTGGCTGTTACTCTGAGTGAAATGGGAGCCATTAGAGAGTTTTGAGCAGAGAAGTGATGTGATCTGATTTCTACCTTAGAAACTGATCATTCTGGCTACCAATGAGAATTTGAGGGGGCATGGGTTAAAGCAGGGAGACCATCTAGGAGGCTTCTGCAGTTATCTAGGTGAGAAGTGACTGTGCTTTGGACCCAGGTTATGGTAGT